ACAAAAAGGAAAAAACAACTTTCATTTCAAATGGCAGAAGTAGATCTTTATCGTGAATCATATCATGACTTTCCTAGTGATGTATTATGGCGTAAATGTTTCTAGTGGCAGCTGTAGCTTAAACTACTGTCAGAAAGTAACAACATGCATTTACTCAGTTACTTTACTGCATACCTAAATACAATTTTCCACTTTCTTTATACCAATACACTTAATTTGAAACGGTATAGTTTTTGGCAACTTTAAAGATCTATATTTTAAATACACAACTATGAAAATATGGTCTAAGTTAATGTATGTTTAGATCTGTCTCAAATATTTTTTTTAAACTATATTTTTGGTAAATGCAGATTCTCCCAAAGATGTGACAGTACATGCCCAGCCTGGTCTTACTGTGGATGAAAACAAATTGTTGACACTGAGCTGCAATGCCCGCTCCTACCCGAAAGTGACCTCTGTCACTTGGAACAAGACAACGCTTGATGGGAAAATTCAAAGCACCCAGAAGACTGAGATCATTAAAGTACAGTCTGTCAGCCCTTCTGACAGTGGACGGTACCAATGTACTGCCAGGAATGAAATCGGGACTGGATACTCAGAGTATGCTGAGGTTAAAGTCAAGTGTGAGTAGACTGGTGGTGTGCAGGTGAACTACATTTACATCATTGCAAATATCTGAAATACTGTTTGAGCTGTCTGAGACCAAAAACATAATGTATAACTTTAGCACATCTGTAGTACTATGATTAGTTTTGATTCTATATATTCCCTAAACCAGATAAGAATCAGACCACAAATGAAGGATGCTGTCTATTAACAGTTAAAACGTTGGCAACATTGAACTTAAGCTACGACCAGGAGAGTGGCAGTTTAAGTAGGGATTCTTTAATAAAATATGATTTCAATGATTGATATAAAAAGTTTCTTTTAAAAAACAAAATAACATTTAAGAAAGTTTAATTATCAATATTCATATAAAATATAGGGAGCCGTAATTATCGCAAGAATAAAGTTTATGCTATAGAAGCATAAATAACATAAAAATTCTATAATACTAATTTATATGAACTACTGAAATTACATGAATAGTGTGCTTACCTGTTTAAGCTCCAATGCATGTGATTACTTTTTTTTTGCCTTTGTAGATAAAAAAGTTATTCTCTTTTAGGAAAATTCAAGTAGCAAGTATGCACATGTAAATTTGAAAATGGTCAAAATTGCCGTTTTAGTGTTAATTATTTAGAATTTGAGGCATCAGGATTAAATTGTTCCATAAGCAGTTAAAAAATCCTTGTGGTAGCTTTAATTAAAAAAATAAAAAAATAAAAGATTATAGCATCTTTCAGTTGTTCTTGTGGCATACGTTTAAGGGTGTGGGCAGTTTATTGCTTTGCCACAGTGTCTTTTTTTTAAACAACCACTGGGGGATGCCAAAAGGAAATTTTAAAAATTTCAACACAGAGCAGCTTAAAGGTTTTTTTTTTTCTCCTACATTTCCCTGTTCAGATGCTCCAAAACACACAAAGATCACAAGAGCAGCAGAGCAGCAGCTGCCAGGTGGGATCACTTCTGTGATGCTGAGCTGCAGCAGTCAAAGCTATCCTGAAATCAAACAATATAGATGGTACAAGAAGATGGAGGACAAGGATGATGAAAAATTGTCTGACAGTCAGAACTACACAGTGTATTCAAACCAACCAGGACTCTACTACTGCACGGCAGAAAATGAAATAAATGTGAAACAGTCTGACCCAGTCCTGCTGTTTGTTGACCGTGAGTGAATTAAAAACCACATGTCTCTATGTGTACTGTATATTACTTTCACACAGGAGACGTGTTAAAGGTTTTGTGAAATCAGACTTGCCAAAACACATTATTTCCTCACAGCAGTTTGAAACAATGCTACTTGTTCACAAATATACTTATGCTCTGTTGTTTCTAGGAGGCTTGATGTGGTTACTCTTTGTTTTTCTGGGTGTCCTGGTCATTATTTTTATTTTCTTTGTCTATAGGTAAAGTATTAAAAATGTTTCAAAATAAATCAAAAATAAATGTCACAGATAAGTTGACTCGTATAACCACTGTTGTGTCCCTCTTATGTTTTCAGAAACAAAAGGAACAAATTAATTCGACAAAGAACTACAAACACATCACCCTGTTATGGTTTTATGGTGATGACTCACTTGTGCAATATTTTCTGCTTCCTGATTGAACAAATTTGTACAAAACCTACATATCTTTGTGTGTATGTGTGCTTGTTAAACCATTCAGGGTTGGTGGAATTGCGCCAGGAGGGGGAATCTAATGAACGAGTCAGTGATGACAGAGCCTTCCAGGAGCACAGATGACATCTTGCCAGACCAGCCGTGCCGTCCGATGGCCCAACAACGCCAGCATCGTCCAGACAGCACGTAAGACAACAGCCGCACACACGCTGTCCCCACCCAGAACAAGGCACACTCTGTAGGACAAAAAGCTGGACGCTGCTGCTCATGCTTGAGTCAAAGCATCCATTTAAGATCCTTCAGACATGAATGAGAGTCATTTATTATAATCAGTCACTGAGTTGCATGTTTTTATTCTCAATGCCGTTGTTATTCCACAGGCCTGCATCCAACATCAACAGTGTTTACTGCACTGTGAATCTGCCTGCTGGAAATAAGGTGAGTCAAACAATTCAAAAAGAGGGTGTTATGAAAAATGTTACTGAGTTGCATCACTGAAATTGTGAGAGTGAGAGTTTTAGGAAAATGAACTCAGTTCTGTTTAATCTCTTTTGACTTTCCTTTTTTTAAAATAAATTTCAAGCAAATCCCCCACTGTTGTCCATCTTCTATATAATGGGTTTAGTGAGCGAAGGCCCGGTGTATCCTAAATTTCCCTCTAGCTACCTATAAATATGTTAATTATTTTAGATATACTGCAAATGTTAAAATGTAAGCAGAAATATTAAATACTTATATTTAATTTAATATTTAATTATTATTAGACCCCATTGTTATTTTATTTATTTATTATTCCAATAGTACAAAACATCCCAAAATGTAATATACTAAAATCCCTATTTATCTCGCTCTATTTTAGACAGCCGGATGTATCTTTCAGTGAACAATAATCATTCAATATTGTGGAGCAATGAATCACCAGACGACCCACAGCTTCCATTTTAAGGCATGAATGAATGAATTCAGTGGCTACTGTACACTGACTGCTGTGTCCTGTCTGCATCTGCTCAGGGTCCTTCTGTACAAAAGCCAATGAGACAGCAAGGTGGAGGCACATGGGATGGGGCTCTAAACTATGCTTCTTTGCACTTTAAAAATAAGCAGTAAGTATTTATGCTGTTCATATAATATCAGAAGAAGAAAGGTATCATTAAATGGCAGCTTGATATTGATATTTGTTTCCCTAGGAACAAACCAGCAAAAGCAGAAGATGATACTGTGTATGCTATGGTGTCAAAGCAAAAGCCACCTAAAAAGGTCAGAAGCCTACAAACCACATCTTCATGTGTCCTGTTCGGTTTAAACCATATTAATGGTTGAACTGCATTGTGCTTGTGCGTGGTTACAGTAAACCTACTTTTTTTAAATCTAGAAAGGTATGTCCTGTCTGTCTATGTCTGTGTGCCCACAATATTGTAGCAAAGAGGATGTTTCCATCAAGTCCTCACAAGCATCATATATGTGGCCATATGCATTTAGCTGTGCATCAAATTTAGAATATCTATATAATGTAAGAATTTATGACAAATGATTTGGTGACCGTTTCTGTTATCGCCCTAGAATGAGCAAGAAAATCAGGACTATGAGAACATCAGTGCAGCACATGCAGCCACATCTCCAGATCTATTGAACTATGACACAGACACCAGTGAAGATGAAGCAGAGATCAATTATACACAAGTGAGCTTCAAGGCAAAATCTGGACATCAGAGAGCCCGCAGAGACTCCAGCACCGACTCCAGCACTGACTCCAGCACCGACTCCAGCACCTCTGATGAAGAAGAGACCCAGTACTCTGATGTCAAAATCTGAGTTAAGATGTTCTTACCCCGCCTTACAGATATGCCCACATCGTGCCTGAGCCACACTGAATCATGTTCATAATCAATCATCAGGTTTTGTTTATTAAACATGTTTTATCACTCCACTGTATTGCTTTTACATTACATTATTGTTTTTCTACTGCAGTAACCAGTACCAAACAGAAGGGAGAAAAGTGACTAACGTTATGAGCTCAATCCAAACCCTAGGCCCCTAAAATATAAATAAGGGTGATTTTGACATGCTGTTGTTCAAACTGTGTTATGTGTGGGCAAATGTACATATTTTAAAAATTTAATGACAATACTGTGATGTTTTAAATACAAGTAGACACCGCTGTAATGTTGTAACGCTGTGCAACAGTTGCTTCACTGAGGCTTGTTTCTGCATGTTGAAACAAGGTGCTGAATGCATAATGCTCTATTTTTTATAATATGCTTTGACTTCAGCTCTTGTATGACTTCAAACTTAAGTGCAGGAAGAATGGCAAAAACAGATGTATGTGTTTTAACAATACAGAATTATCCATGAAGTCTTTGTCACTCGTGTACTGGCTTCTATCACTCTGCACAAAGGTTGTAAATGACAAATTAACAGAGAGGAAAAACATTAGCATGGACATATTAAACATAACATAGAGGAATAAAAGTAATGAGCTTAAAGGGAACATTTACTGTAATGGCTGATTGTGGGGATGTTAAAGGTTCATCCTCAGCGTGCAGATTAGCTCTGTCATCTGTATCATGAGATAACTACCTATTTTTTATGGTGTTTTTTGTTTTGTTAGACATTTTTTAGTAAAGGGACAAATGAAAGTGCGACATTACTCACTTTAAATAAGGTTGCCTGCAGTGCAGTGCAGACTTTACGTTGTTGTTCTGCTCAGTTGGGCGAAAAACTGAAGTGGGTGATCTTAAAGTCCTGTAGCGGTTTCAGCTATTATTTCCCCTAAAGTTAAGCCATAACCTTTTCACTGATAAGACCATTAGTGTCTTTCTTTTGTCCTTAGTGAGTATCAGCAACTGTTTCTTCTTCCTTTCTGGCTCCTCCGTTAACTCCTCTGGAGTGCAGACGGATCTCAGCATACTCTGCTGTCTTGGAGGCCAGGCCTTTGATCTCCCCTTCCTCAAGCTTACCCTCTGACTTGGCCTGGAGTTTAACAAAGTCCACATTGGCATAGTGCAGAGAGTCTTCTTCAACTACTCCATCCTGTTCCAGAATGGCATTATTGACATAAATCACATCCACTTGTGAAGAGTTGGTCTGTAGGAAAACAAGAGAGACAACTATTTGCTTCAGTAATGAAGATCATATTTCTCTTTACTTAATTAGGCCCAATTAGATGATATCCGCTCAACATTCTGGGAAATAAGTCTATTTGCTGTAAAAACAACATTGTATCTCGTTATCCTGCAAGCAAGACTCAACAATACACAGAGAAAGGGAATAGTGCAGCAGTCAAATTGAAAAGTTTTTTCCACACTCCTTATAAGAGGTCTACAAATTGTCACTACTTGGGTTATAAATATTAATAAAGCATTGCTTTTGGGATATTTGAAGGTTCCTTTTTTTATGCATTTCCCTTGTTTACACTCATACATGTAGGTGTGTGCAGGACATAAACTCACCTCATTAGTAACTAAAATGTCTGAAGTGTCCACAATTCCCTTGTCGGGTGAAAGGCTGCCTTTCCTTTTCCTACAACCAACACAAGAAGTCATTGTTATATATATAGTCATTTATTATTTTTATTTAATACGTTTTTTAATTTCAAGGTCATATTTAGCAATACTATGGGGTAGCCATGGTTGCCCACTGTAAATGACAGCCAGCCTGGTCACCATCCAAGTCACACCCTTGATAGAGACCTCTAAATGTGTTTCTGTCTCATTTTGAAACCTGCATTCAAAATGTCCTGTTAACAGCACTGTATTTAAGGCGTTTGCTGTTGTCTTTTTAGCTGTTTCTCACCTGCAAAAGAACAGCAGCAGCGGGACACACACCAACATCATCCCCAGTGCTCCTGCTGCAGAGCCAATCAAAAGAGACACAGCATGGAGGACTGAAAAGTCCAAACCACATCAGTCAGTAAAACCACAAAGGCAGATTATGCAAAATAAAAACCAAATATAAATGCAGCATCCTGAACATGGCTTTACCTAGCTGAGTTTCACTGGAGGACACGTTGAACACAAAACTATCCGAGCCCAGTGAGTTGATGCTGAGGCAGACTAAAGAGGGCATGTCTCCATCCAGATGGTACAAGGTGATGAGGCTCCTCATGCCCACACTTCCCATGGGAACTTCCCTGATTGGGATGTCAGCTGAGTGATTGACAGGCTCCCCGGCCAATTCCCAAACCAGGGAGGGAGGAGGGTTCGCCTGGCTGTCGCAGGTGCATCGAATCTGGGATAAAATCTTGACGCAACGGGAAGAAGGCAGGATCTCTGGAGAAACTGAGACAGGGAAAGTAATTGGCTATTACATGCAGTACATGCTTGGTCACACTTGTAGGGGGAAACAAAGGTTTACAATTGAATAAAAAGATAAATAAATCTCACATGTGACATCAAAACTGGCCAGCTCTGAGCATTCAGCTCCGTGGACATTCAGAGCTTCACAGTAATACTGGTCCTCTGAGAGTTTGGTCACGTTGAAGATGAAGTGTTGCTCAGAGCCCACCATCTCCTTTTCTCTTCCAGCCACTCTGAACCAGGTGAAGTTAACTGCTGCTGGATTGGCGATGGTTGTGCAGGTCAGAGTTACAGAGGTGCCGTCCACCACTGGACCAGAGGGGTCAACTGAAACTGTGGTGTTCTTAGGGGGATCTGAGAAAGATAATGTTGCTGTTAGTCCTGCATATACGGTTATTGTTTATTTGTTGGGAATGCAGAATCGATTACCTATTCGAAGGTAACAAAAACACATTGATTCCTATATCCAGGTAATTATACAATAATAAAAACATATCTATTAATATTACATTCCATTTCTGACAGTAGATGCTCCCAAATGTTACACACTGGACCTTTAAGTTGGTGTCACATAATATAAAAAAAATCATGCTCAGACTATGACAAGATTCACATTTTTCTTTTCTGGGAGGATTTGGAGTGAAACAATCTGTTTTCCTGAGGTCTTCTAAACATTGAAACTCAACTGTTTAGCCAACATGAATTCCATGGCAAATTTGAGTGAGGAAAAACTGTTTCTGCTGATGAAGATCAAGTGGCATTGGCACACACTCCAAAAAGCTCAAGCTCTGTTCTTTCTAATGTTCTTTGCAAGGTTAAGACTGAACTGAAAGAGGTAAATTAATTGAAATGAGCCTTTTGTACTGGACAATAAATATGTGATTTTTTTACAATTTTGTGCCTTTTCAAAAAACTTAACCAATGATTAATGGAAGCTACATTCTATTTGAATAATGGAAATCAAAAAGTAAAAAAAAAACATACTGTATAATATGCTGTTTCACAGATACTATAAAGGTCTATAAATACCTTCACAGTCTATTTTTTTAAATTTTGAGGTTTCAGTAAGATGAGACAACCTATTCATTTTCTGCGGTTGGAAATGAGGTCTTAAGGGGCGAAACCCAACAAAACAACTACACATAAATTAACACACTGGCACACATGTGGAAGTACAACAGAGCTCAGTCATGATGGACCACTGACATAGGAAGGATTTTGAGGTTGTCACGCAATGTGACAATGCATTACTGTCCGTGGTCCAGACACTGTAGTGTTGCCCTGTGACTGAAAGTTGGCTTCAGGTCATGTTTGGGAGACCACAGCTGGATATACAGTAGAGCCATATTCAGCATATGAACACACTGGAAACATAGTTGTGTTGTTTGTTATCAGCGTAAATCAATGTCTTTAGTGTGTAAAATGAACTTACACTGAACGTCCAGCTGAATCGCTGCTGAAATTCCCTCTCCCAGCTCATTTTTTGCTGCACAGTGGTAGTCACCATTATGGCTCTGGTCGATGCCGTTTAGAACTAAGCTCAACCCAGGCTCGTTTTCCTCTTCATCATCTTTGTACCAGGTGTAGTTGGTCACTGGTGGGTTGGCACGGCTCCTACAGAACAGAGTAACAGAGCTGCCCTCCAGTATTGGACCATCAGGGTCGACGACTACTGTGGTGTCCTTGGGAGAAACTAAAAAAAAACACGTTCAATCCACGTTGCTGGACAATATTTGTCGTCTGCCTTTCTGTTACAATCTGACTTACATTGTACGTCTATCTGAGCGATGGATGAATTCTGGGATCCATATCTGTTACTGACTTTGCAGTAAAACTGGTTGTCGACTTCTGAGACCGTAGTTGAAAGCCTCTTCTTAGAACCCACTGCTGTGACATGATCTCCATCCACTTTGTACCAGGTGTAGCTGTCCACAGCTGGATTTGCGTTAGTGCTGCAGGTCAGAGTCACAGAGCTGCCCTCTTTTACAGGACCAGAGAAACTGACTGATGTGTTATTTGGAGGATCTGGAAGATAATTTGGAAAATCTAAATGTGTTTATGCAGGTAGCATAAACAGATTTCATTTGAATAGCTTGACATTTTGGGAAATAGCGCTTATTAGCTTTCTTGCCGACAGTTAAATGAGGAGAGAATACCACTCATGTCTGTATGATACACATGAAGCTACAGCCAGGAGATACTTAGCTTAGCACAAAGACTGGAAACAGGGGGAACCAGCTAGCCTGGCTTTGCCTGAAAGTAAAACATACTACTACTACTTGTACCTGCACCTCTAAAGCTCACTGACATGCTATATCTGGTTTGTTTGTACAAAAACCAAAGTGTAAAAACAACATTTTGTGGATTTCATGTTGAAAAATATCTCTCGCGGTTTCACCACAGAGATAAGTTATGTGTGTAATAACCATGACGATAGGGCAACATCTCTCGCCTGATTTTATACAGTCATTTACTTTATTTATTTATTTTTTGCTGCCTACCGCATACTATCCCACTTGGGTTGTGCCTCCATACTTATTTGTTATGTCACCCTCATAATTAGTGGGGGTCTGAGTATCATTGGCATATGGCTATGCTCAGGGATGCTCAAATGATGCCTCTAATGTGTGTAACCTCTATGATTTATTTATTTCTTCATGGTTATTTATATTTATTTTCATTGATGTTTGTGATGCTCTATAATTGCTGCAGAACTTCGATATATTTTTTTAAATCATTCTTCAGGAGTCTGCAAGTACACAGTTGTAAATGTAAGCAAGTGATTAATAATGGTTTCAGTGCTTCCCACTAATAAGTCATCAAGTCTGCAGTTGTAAAATTAATAATAAATACATTTATAATCCAAATACTCTGACCACTATCCTTCTAGGGAATTTCTGCAAACTGTTCAACGGAGGATAAACAACCACAAAATAGATTTGTTTTTTACAACACGTCATAACCTCACATTATATAAAGCGAGATGACATGATATGATGTTATCTGAAACAACACCCAACACAACAACAAGTCATGCCAGAAACATACTCACAAAGAACACCGAGGGTCAAACTTTGTTTATACAGAAGATCGCTGTTGCCAGCTTGTCGGTTGTAGAGAACGCTGCACAAGAGCTTCTGTCCATTGTGTAGGTAAGAAGCGGTAAAGTTCATAACAGAGGTCACATGTTTGGTTTCTGTATCCTCCTCAATGTCACCAATACTGGGGGTCCATGTTAGAGCTGGAGGAAGAATGGGACAGACAGCTAGAGCCGAGCAGTTCAACCTCACTGGAGTCCCTTCTTCTACCTCCAGCCTGGATGGCGTTATGGTGGGTCTGGGCAGTTGAACTGAGGAGTAAAAATAATGAGGAAGTGGCAGGAGAGATACCAGAAGATGTGGGTTTACATGTATAAGTGGACATAGCACGAACCTTGAGTGGTGATAATGACATCTGTGTGAAAGCTGTACTTCAGTTTGTTCTCACACTCCAGTCTGAAGTAATAGCGGTCATAATGGTTTGATGGCAGGTTGTTGAAGATGGTGGTGCAGTCCTTGTCACGTAGGACCCCCGTCAGGTTTCCCTGCATGGTGTTTGAGCTCGCACCTGCTGCAGTGAGGCTGGAATCAAACACCTGCACTCGATTCCAGCCTCTCCTCCAAATGGCTTTACACGAATCATCCAGGTATTGCTCAAAATCAGCGAGCAAGGTGAAAGTACAGGGGATGATCACACAGGATCCACTTAGTCCCTCTACTCTCTCAGGCATGAAGACTGCCCATTGTTGGCATAAGCTACCTGAAGTGGAACAAAAGCAACAAAATAAATATCCGCCAATATGAACACCAGTATTAAATGTCACAAAATTGCGACAGGGCACCTTGAAAATGATAAACAATCATTATTAAAGAGAAAACTAAACCATGCAAAAAAACAGCAGACACCGGCAAACACTAAATGTTAAAAACAGAAAGCAACTTATGCAGTATTTGTGAGTAACTGTAAATAATTGACATCCAAAAAGCATTTAAATGTGGAATACTTTACCTTGAAGTAGACAGCATATGAGGAAAACCTTTACAGCACCTGTCATGCTTTTCTGTCAGGTTGATGATCCTACAGAGAGGTACTGGACATACACACACAAAAAAATTAATTCTTATTTCTTGGTCAACTATCATGAATTACCAGGATAATGGGGGATAAATCCTGTATTTAGGGGTATTGTATCTACTTGATCGAATA